TTCTTTATTAATGACCAAAGAAAAGTAGATTCATACTACACTGACGACAAATGCATATATTGCTACAATACAAAATATAGTAACTGGACTAAAGCAATTATTATCAAAATCAAAAGAAAACCAAAATAAATTTGAAGAAAATGCTATTACATTATATCATCAAGGATTACAATATATCTATTGGAAACTAAATGCAAAAGAATATACTTGTACAAACTTAGAAAATATACTATTCAACTATCTTATAAATGACGGAACCAATAATAAATATTTAAACCAATTACAAACCATACAACAAACTGATATACAACTAGAAAAAGAGTACCAAGTATTTGAATACCTCCACGAAGTAAAAGAAATACTACAAAAAATTCCAAGAAAAAGAAACCAAGTACTGAATATACCAGAACCCCAAATAAACTAATTGATAACATTAACTAATAAAATACGCGAAAACTGAACCGCACAAACAATAATTACTGGACTTAGAGACCTTACTGATCAAGACTCTATTGAATATAGAAGCTCAAGCCATAGTAAATATATTGAACAAGAAATTGATAAAATACTTATATGAAATTAGAAACAAAACAATATATAATTCTAATAGCAAACAAAATACGAAACAAAATTGAACAACAATTCTCTGGAATAATAACGTATAGATTCAATAGACAACTTCAAAAAGTAGAAACTATTCTAAACTTGAAAGAAATACTCGCAGACAACATTTTTGCAAATCCAACAATCTTAATAAAACTAATACAAGAAACCCAAGCTTTTCTAAAAGAAATAACTTGTGAAACAAGCAAAACATATATACAAAAACAACTTTTGCCAAAACTATATATTTGTACAACATATCAAGATTATATAAACCTCGAAGAAGAATTAGTAACAATAACACTCACTGAACTATTAACTTATGAACCTTAGAACAAGAATTCAAGGAATTAAATCAGTCTATATATTATTAAAAATAGCATTAATAACTAGACAAACTTATAATTGACAAGATGATAAAGAATTTTACAAAGAACAAATAAGTAATAATATACTTACTCTAACAACACGATCTCACAAAGAAGATATACCAGAAACAATACGAGAAAGAATAGAAAATATATTTAATAGATTACTTGCAACAACCCTAATTTAACAGAACAGCAAAGAACTGATATGATTATTGGCCAACAGACCAACCGTTATTAATATTATATATTGAACAATTAATTGAACAAACAGATATTTGGTTACTAACCAATACTACATTAGAAACTTAATATTAGTATTAACAAGACAAGATATAGACGATTGTACATCATTTGAAATAGAAAATCCTATAGACAAACTATTAGACCAATTAAGAACCGAATTTCACCCTTTATGATTTGAATATTGGATACCGTATAAAAATAGAATACCATATTCAAAAGACAAATTTGATCCAAGAACTCGAGATACTGGAAAAGAAATACTAAAACAAAGACCACCACATAGTATACGAAAGGATATTTAAAGAACATTGCAAGATTTATTAGCCAGAAATAATCCAACTAATAATCTAAAATTAAGAGCAACATTAAAACTATTAGACGCTTCTGTACAAACAGCTGCACTGATAACTTTTAGTCAAATGACTTATATAAGTGTGACCACAATCGAAGAGAAGAAATATTAATTAACTTAACAGATATACATACATATATCAAAAACTTCTTATTTAACCTAGAAAGATTAGAAAAGGAATCTAAAATAGGAGTAACATCATGCACATATGAATTACACAAATCTATAATTACAACCGAACAAAGGTTACAACAAGCTCACCTACTAAACAGAGCTCACGCAATACAAGAAGAAATTAGAACTGCTAATTGAACAAAAAATAATAAATAATCCTAGGTATTACAGAAGTACTGATGAAATGAAGATTATACCGATCAATTAGAACATCTAACACCTGAAGAAAAATACACATACCAAGAAATATTCTTTAGAAATATAGGACACTAAGACGCGTATGAAGAATATAAAAATCATACTAAAAGAAAAGAACCAAGAATAAAAGAAATATCAACCCAATACGATCTAGATGACCTTAAACAATCAAACCTCTACTATATCTTTACAAAAACAAGTAGAAAACCAATATACATTTCTAAAAAAAATAATTGAAATAGATAAACAACAAATAACCGTTTACGGAAAACTACCTAAAAAGAATGAAATATATACTATAGGAAAAGGAAATTATATCCTTGACCAAATAAAAACTCCACCCTCAGAAGAAACAGTATTCACAATACGAAAAGCATATACTAGAATAGAACAAGTAATCAGAACAATACAATTACTAGAAATACCTCTTTTAGAAGAAAAAGAAGAACTTACCTTACAAAACGCTTTTGAAAACAAAAAATATAACAACTTATTTTTATTTATAAAAGAAATACATGAATTAGAATTAATAAAGAAAGGACCACAACAATATCTATTCGACAATAGATTTACATCTGACGACAGTGATAACTTTTTAGCCCAAGACGCAAGATGAAGAGCTAACTATATTAAAGCAAAACTAAATAAATACCAAAAAACTGGAGAAACAATAAACCCAGCATACAGAATAGATTACCCATCAGATGAATACTGAACACACAAAGAAAAAGACAAAAACTTCAGAAAAATATTCAGAAGAAGAATTACATTATTATTCAGAACTATATTCATTATGAACAACTGAAACATCTATCCTATTAGGAGAATTTTTAACAGAAACACAATTAATATTCACACTAAAAGCAATTTATGACGAATATCACTATATTCTGATAAAGAAACAAATACTAAAAATAACATTCCTAGAACACAATGACTATATTAAAACATTTTACAAAGAAAAATACCTACAAGATCTCATACTACAAATACTACAATTCTACCAAAGTACAAGAAATAGACACGCCGAATTATTCTATAAACAAAATAATAAACACTTAACAATAGATAATTTAGAAGAATCTAAAAAAGTTCATCTTATTACAGAAAAAATAATAACACTCAAAGAAAATTTGATAAAAATAAATACAAAACCCCATTATTGTTCAGAAAATGAACAACTTAAAAAAAAATTACAATGACTAGAAGAATTACTTTTAAAAGAATTAGAATATATATTTTATAATATAATACCACCAAAATTAGCAAAAGAAAAAATATCTGGACCTAACGAAGTATATAACTGGATAACAGTAAATAGTTACGAATATCAAGGATACTATAATCAACTAATAGCCCATAGTACTACTGATTACAATTCAGAAGAAAACTATAGACAACATACATTTAATTTAATAGACCAATATATAAGTAATGAAACAACAACCGATGATAAAACTGTCCCAAACAGCAATATTTAGGTATAACAATGAAGGATTACCAGAAATATTACTAGCTCAACGAATAAATCCAAACAAAATATATTACTCCTGGTATGGAATACCTGGAGGCAAACAAGAATATACTCATGAAACATTCGAACGAATAGCAGAAAGAGAAACCCTAGAAGAAACTGGAATACTTATATACCAAGAAAAACTCATAGAAATAGGACATAGTTATTATCCACCAAAAGATACTAACGGATATAACACCACAAGTGCAACCGAAATTAAAACATACATTCACCCTGCTAATAACCAAGACCCACTACAAATGGAACCAAATAACCATGGAACATGGAAATATTATACAAAAGCCGAAATACTAGATCATATTACAATAACACCAGAATTACAATTACAACTCAATTTAATATTTTACTCAATCGAACACTATCAAAAAATATTAGACTTCAAATATAAAGAAGAAGAAGAAGTCGACTCAAAAAATAAAGAACAATTTGAAAAATTAGACCTACCTAACTTTACCTTAGATGAAGCAACAGATTTCATAAATAAATCATTTGAAAATATTCAACCAATTGAAGTATACCAAGTAAAGAAAACAATTCGAAGCATTGAAAAACAAATATATCAACAAAAAGAAACTCAGAAAAAACTCAACATCAAATTGAAAAAATACTACCAAAGGAGATTCACTATAATCTTTTGATCACCGCAAAGACCCCAAGTCTTACAAAATTTAGGAAATGGACCGACACTATCACAGCTCCATAAATCTGAAATACCATATCAACTAATTAAAAATGAAAAATTCAAATTTAGAATTGTGCAACAAGAAAACTTCGCCAATGGAACAATCGGCGGAATCAAAATAAGACTACTAACACACAAACGATACAAATACGAGGCGACAATAGAAGATCTTATAATAACATATCCACATTACATAATGATGTAAATAAATACAAAACCAGAAAATCAAATTACCAAATTAATAAAAATACCGGTAATACAAATCCGGACATGTCTAACTGTTACTGACCCGAAGATACGTATGGTTAAATAAATTAGACTGAAATTTTGCAGACAATAATTCGCCTAAAATAAAATCATTTGTCAAGATAAAAGATCTGAATGGAAATTTGACAATGGGAGAGTCTATTTTATTCAAAGGCCTTGTTTTACCAACCGCGTGGAACATTGATGATAAATCACAGTTTGTTAGCATAGATTCAAGTGGGCTTAAAGTGAATTCACATATGCGCATATATGCACATCACATTTCCCCGTCCACTCTAATAGGCGTGAGTAATACAGAATAAGAAAATTTTTAAATCCGAAAAAGTTGATTATATTCCAACACAAATAATATAACATTAACCAATCCATATACAATACAATACTCTATATTACGACAGTGAGTAAGTAATACGG